ATCGGCGCCTGTAGCTTTGTTGTTTTTGAGCCGCGTTATAGCTGTTTTAACTTCATTATGATCGGGAGGCGGGACGATTATTTCATCGTCAACGATTGAAAATTCGGGATCATCTTCGCTTTCAGTCACATTGCTACTACCGCCATTTAGTAGTTTCGAGAAGTGATCCCTCCAAATATTAAGCATGCTTTGGACATCTATCACCAGATTACCGTTTTCATCTTTGCAGGAATTAGCTCCGGGTTTATAACCACTTGTCAGGCTTTTAATTTTTTGATAGAATTTTCGAGCCATATTCCTGTCGCCCAGCTTCTCAAGCTCTTCGTACTCACGTCTTTCTGTTTCCTTCTTTTTTCGCCTGAAAAGACGTTTCTCTTCCCTTCTCTTTTGCCGATATCGCTCTTTAACAGCGCGCGTCGCAACTGACCGCAGGGTGGCTTGATATGCTGCGTCTTTCTCTGCGGTAGCATTGCGACACTCTTGGTCGTACCAGCTGTTTCTTTGTATACGGTGATAGCCGATCACCTCTTCTGCAGCGGTACGCATAGAGTTAGAGATGTGGTTCCATTGCGCGCATATATCGGCTTCTTCAGATGAGTTTTCCAGATATTGGGAGAGTCGAGTAGCGAAGTCATTAGCTGTCTGTTGTGATTGCAGCTTTTCGACGTCTAGCTTTCGCTGTGCTTGTTCACGTACCTTTTTCATCGCACATAAACGTGTGCGGATCTTGGCTGCAACAAGGTAATGATCCGAGTCGATGTTGGCTCCACGGATAGTACGTACATCCAAGACACTGGAAGCATGCCTTCCGTCTATCACAACGTGATCAATTTGAGATCTTGTGTTTTGATCAGGTGACAGCCATGTTGCCTTATGTATGTTGAGATGCTGGAATCTGGTACTACTAACCACCATGTTTCTAGCCGCGGCGAAATCAATCAGCCTTCTTCCATTATCAGAAGTTTTCGTGTGAAGACTGAACTTTCCGACAGTAGCACCAAAGATACCTTCTTTACCCACCTTTGCGTTGAAGTCTCCAACAACTATTTTGATGTCATGATGGGGACAGCGTTCATATGCTTGTTCAAGTTGTTCATAGAAAATTTCCTTGGTGTCGTCATCTTTATCTTCCGTTGGGGCGTGCGCACATATTAGAGTGATAAAGAAAAATTTTGCCTTAATCCGGATTTTTGCGAGCCTTTCGTTTATTGGTGTAAACGTTGAGACCAAATTTCTCAGCTTTTGGCCTACCGCAAATCCGACTCCAAACTCGTGCTTTGTTGCATGGCAGCTGTAGTAGATGTCACAATGATCTCGTTTAGAGCATCCTTGTCCCGTCCATCGCATTTCCTGGAGAGCGGTAATGTCAGCCTTATATTCCTTGAGGACATTAACCACCTGTATAGATGCACCTTCTCTGTAAAGAGTTCGGACATTCCAGGTGCATATTTTTAAATCGTGTTCCTTAATACGTTTGCGTTTGTCGTCATCAGTAGATCGTTTCCTTATCCGAGGCTGCCTCTTCGTTTGCATTGAAAGGATTTTTTTAAATGGTGGGTTCCAAGCCCGACGCAAAACCTCATATATCCCTGAGGTGGATTTCGCTGCACACATTAGTTCACTACGCACGGATGATTGTAGCTATCCAGAGGGGCCACGTGGAGGCTGTGTGTCAACTTGGAGAGAACAGTGACAAGGATCGCGCTGGCATTTACCATGTTAAATGCAATCAGACACTTTACCTTGTATGTTCAATCCCATCCCCCCACTTCATCATCACTTACCATTATTTTATCGAGTGTCTTAAAATATTCGACCTTATCGTCATCAATGGTAATAATAGCCTGTCAGGACTTAATTTCCTTCATGAGTCCCCTCCATTTGCATCTACTGTATTCTTTGCAACTGATTAAGTAACAAAGCCATACCCCGCCAGACTACACCCGTGCACCATTTACTTTGGTTGGGATTTAAATTTATCAGTCATTCTAGTAGGATCTCTAAGAAATACAGAAAAAAAACTACATAAACGTGCTAATTCTTTAATAACTACAAAATCAAGCTCATCCTAATATAATATTAATAGATTATCTACCAGATGTGTGTACGATAATAAGTCAAAATATTTATCTTTTTTAAAAAATTAAAAAGAATTATATATGTATATCTATAAATTACTAAAATGCAGTGATATGCCCATTTTTGTGGTGACATTTGTTCATATACATTAAATATATATGTGTATGGTTATACCAACATACCAATATATGTTTGAATATATTTTCTTCAAATAATTTATATTTTTTTCTCTAGTTTTCTTATATCTCGACAACACTCAAGTTTTGTGTTTGGGTGTTAAATTTATGTTTAAACTGAAACTAAACTTGAATTCTATCGCTCAATTATGTTGTGATAAAAAGGATTGTTGCGACATTCATACCAATCTCATGTTACAATTTTAGTTGGACGTGATATTTTTTTAAAAATGCCGCCACCTTTTCTGAGATCGAGAAATATTCGTATTATGTTGCGGTACGAATTGATGGCGTTAAAATCGTTTAGAATTAATGCCACGCGTTTTGAATTTGTTGCGGCACTTTAAGAAAATCTCCATTCATACCTTAGTCTTCACAATTTTATATGTCCCATTCCTTTTTTTTTTTTTAATTTATAGCTAAAATTATCGACTAAACGATGCAAGCGAAAACAATCGATAAAATTGAATTCTTCAACCGGTTTCGTAGAGGCTATTCTCTTCGAGCAAAAGTCACAAACCAAACGAGGATCACCCATTAAACAAACCAGCAAACAAACACTTTTATACCAAAATTCATTAAATGTGGACTAAAAACGTACACACTTGAGTGTACAAGAAATTAATAAAAATAAAATAAAATACAAAATTAAGTGAAAAGCATCCAAGCATCCAAATGAAAGGCCGAGAAGGCCGAGAAGAAGGCACATCTCGAAAATAATACAAGAGAAAATAAAAGATACTTTGTACGTCGAAAGAAAAACCTTTTAATTTGCTTGTAACAAAAATTTGTTATCTCTTAAACTGTGCCATAAAATAAAAATGCACCGATAAGGCGACCACAACAAAGTCAGGCTCAGCGTGCAACTTGCACGCACGGACAGACGTTTTGATCTACCTTACGACCCGATTGCAGTTTAATATATCACAAGATGCAGCACGCTAGTGTAGCCCGTTCTAAAGGGTCTTAAAAGGTGTTGATGTTTAAGTTTAACATTGTTTCCTCTTATCGTTATGGTTTAGTGAAATCTCTTGAGTCTTACGAATTTGAAGTTTTACTTAAAATGTTTGTAACACATTATTATTGGCCTGTCCCTTTGATCGAACTATAAATCGACGGCTTCACATGGACTTCAATCCACGTATTAATTGTTTTAATTTCCGCTATTAAAAAAGGACTGCATCGAATCATGGGTAATAAAATGTATAAACTAATTAAATCTATTAAGTGATATTTTAACCACTAATTTAGATAAAGATTTCATTATTATTAAATTAATTTTACACATCTATAATATATAAATTTTGGAATTGAGACCAACAAAAAATGAGTTGTGTTCCATCATGACAATACCAAGCCGCACACATCTTTAATAACTCGGAACGAATTGACAGAACTTGGTTAGGAAGTTTTCATGCCCCCATCGTATAGTCCGGATCATGCACCGTCTAACTACTGTTTATTTCGGTGTCTGTAAAACTTTCTTAACGGTGAAAATTGTCCAGCCAAATTGTTTTAAACGTTCTTTAATTTCCACAGCACAGTGGTTTAACTAATTCTGATTTACCTTTGTTGCAGACATAACTGGACATTTACGGGATCAGCTAAGTTTGTCATATTTGGAAACACTGTTGGAAGTGCTTACACAAGTAAAATTTTGATTCATTGCGATTAAGTACGGCACCAAAATTTTATAATATTGTAGCCAGTAAACCTTTGGTTGCTTGCATTGGCACCCCATCATATAACTTTCAATGGACCTCAATTCTCCGTTTTGCTACCATAGTCCTCGCAGGAATCGCTAAGATAAATGAATATAGATTAAATCATTCCCGTCGAATTTAGATCATACATTAAGACCGAAAAGTTTTCGGAAATTCTCATTTAAAATTCGCGCGCTGTATATTTTTCGATATTTTAAGTTTATGTAGTTTGGCAGCAATTAAGGACAATTACTATGCAAAAAATGAGCGCGATCTGTCAGACAGTTCGTTTACGGCAGCTGTTGAAACCAGTTCACCTCAGTAGTGCGTTGCGAAAAAAACAATGGAAAAAAAAATTGAACAAAGAGTTTGCATCAAATTTTGTGTTTCGAACGAAATTTCGTGTGCAGAATCGTTGCGAATGCTACAAAAGTTATGGGGAATCAGTTTTATCGAAAACTCAAGTTTATGAGTGGTACAAAGCCTTTCAGGACGGTCGTACGACCGTCGAAGACATTTCGCAACGCACTACTGAGGTAACTGGTTTCAACAGCTGCCGTAAACGAACTGTCTGACAGATCGCGCTCATTTTTGGCATAGTAATTAAGACAGTGCTGCCAACTACATAAACTTAAAATATCGAAAAATATACAGCGCGCGAATTTTAAATGAGAATTTCCGAAAACTTTTCAGTCTTAATGTATAATAGGTCTTTCGTCTTTTCCATTGAACAGTTTGATAAGTTGTCAAAGAAATATCTTCCTAAAAACATTTTTCTCAACAGAACTTTAGTCATTAAAGTACTATTGTTCACTTCAGATTTAAAGCATGGTTTTAAAGCTATCCTATTTAATGCACTGCTTTTTCTAATTACTATTGCAATATATTTCTACACTCAACTTTTTCTGCTGGTTATGCTTAGACTATTTACCTATTCAATATTTCCAATTAAACTGATTAGTGACTTTGACATACACACCTTATTAACAGCAAAACCTTATCCGTTACCGATAATAAATATTTTTAAATAACAAGAATAGTGTACCAGAAAAAGTTTATTGATGTGTGTACTAGAAAGCTTTAAAGTCTTAATTCTATTTATTACTACAAAAATAAGTTACTTCTTATTGCATTGAAAGTTAAATTTAAAATATATAATCTTTTTAGAAACTTTAAAAGTATTCTTTTTTAATCTCTTGATTTATCTGAATATCGGTTCCATATCACTGTATTGTCAACATTCTCAGCGTTAATCTTCTTAGGCAATTTTGGCGGAAGAAGTTCATCCCTTTTTTGTTTTAATCTATTAGCCACATTGCTGAGAGAGATCGCGTTGTCTACTTGGCACATATAATTATTATTATAAGTATACATTTTTCTGAAACTACAAACCTCGCATTAAACGATACCCCGTCCTCGTCTTTTTTTCAATTACTTCTTTTAAATAATTTGCATCAAGATCATCAATACTTTCCGTACAGGTAATACAACGATCGAACAAGTTTCTTGTAGTATTATGTGAACGCGCTATAATTTGGGCCGTTTTCAGTAATTCTTCAACAGTATCACTCGCATCAGAATCAGAATCGTCATCTTTTTCCTCATCTTCACTGTCCATTGCAAGCAAGTCCTTAACACATTTTGGATCTCTAACAAAACATTTCTTTTTGTTGAGTGGTCTTCCGGGCAAAAATCCTTGCGCATCATTATCCTCATTAAAGAATGCATCAATGTCCATTTTACCACTACGTTTTGGAGGATTTATAGACTGATCTGATTTGGCAGAAGCAAACATTGCTTTAGCAGAAGTTTTATCTTTTGATACATCATAACCTGCATTTGAACGATGAGAATTGATTATATATCTCTCATGATCAGCGGCTACAGTAAGTGATAGTTTTCTTTTCGAAGCCACATTTACGTCAGAGCTATGTAAGTCAGTAACCTTAAGTGTTTTTTCTTCTCTTTCATCTTGGCGCTCTTGACGACTACTGCTTCTGTCATTCTCTTTTTGTTGTTTCCTGAATTTGGCGAGATCTTCTGTATAATGTGTTCGTAATTTCCTGTAATCTGGACTTGCGTTTTCAACTAATCTACAGATTTTTGGATCAGTACACTCTTCGACACGACTTTGTTTCTGTCCAATTTCTGCGATCTTCTTATCAATTTCTTGCAGTCTGGTGAGTTTAGCAGGCTGAACACCAGCTTTTTCTCGATGTTTGGTTAGGTGGTCTTTCAATAATTCTAAAAAAATAACGAAAACTTATTACTGTAGTACGAATAAAATTAATAAAAAAAAATTCACCCATTGTAATACTGCAGAGAAGGTTGGGCTATTTGTGAAAATTTAGAACTTGTTCGTAATTTATTTAACCATACTAAAAGAAAATTTCAGAATATGTCAAAAATTTTCTTGGAAATAAAATTTTACAACTAAAATTTTTGATTCAACTACTACTACAGAAAAGGTTTTAAAATTTGTAAAATGATATAATGATTTTAAATAATCGAAATATTTTAAATTTTGTTTTTTTATGTGATAACTAATAAACTTTGGGCCAAAGAACTAATAAAACTATTGGCTACTATATTCTGGTTTATTATTAAATTAACTATTTGTGGCATTATCCAAAATATCTCTGGTTCTTTAAGAGAGATATGGGGCAGAATATTCCCAACTTAATACATTACTGCCGTAAAAAGCTATTACTAGCGAGACCCAATCAGTCGTAGAATAATATATATCGGGATAAAAATAATAGCAATTCTAGTAATTGTTGAGTTGGCTCTTTTAAAGAATTGTAGTAGTTGGCAGGGTTGATACCTAAGGTATCGCAGAAAAAGTTTCAACATTAACAATTTCACTTAATGTGGAGTTGCATTTTTCAACCGTGTGTTATGACCTAAAAATCAACAGAGTTTTAGATAAGTCCCGATCCTCACAAAGACGAAATTATATCCAAACTTAGAACTACTATTGGTAAGTTTTCGATGAGGCCTTTAAGGCGAATAACCACGCAAAACAATTTTAAACTCTGTACATATCAGCAGTTCTACCTATATATATACGCAGCATACCGACGCAAGTCTACATCAATACAGAGATAAGGACGCAAATATATGGACGTTTGTGACATACGCTCCGTGAAGAATGTGATTAAAATACTACACGCTAACAAAATCTGCGTGGTACCTGACGCTTAAAAGATGATGCCATATTAAACCTAACCATTTTAGCCTCCACATAGGTGGATTTAACTATGACTTGGCACTGTAATCTTAAACTAAAAGCCATATTGAAAGTATTCAAAAATAAAGACAGACACAATATTCATAGAATAAGATTGATATAGCCGCATATATCTTATATATGATTTTGGCCTATAGTCTCGACAATTCGCGACCATTTACGAAAAGTCCAAACTAATACTTGAAGAAATTCTGTAACTGCGTTAAGCGTTCAGTTCATTGTTCTAACCAAAACTATACTTTGCTTTCTAATGTTGTATCTTGTCTTATTGTTTATAGGTATCTTATTTTATGTTAGTATCTTATATTGTTTGTTACTGTTAGTTTAAATTCTTTCAGAAAGGATAGACTTATTTTTAAAATTATGTGCTTAAGTTACAAGCTCTATTTTGGATGGATTCCAACCCAATCTTCTAAACGCATGACATCTAGAGATATTACGTTTAGCAACTTAAAGATGTTCTGAGAAAATTTTATTAAATTTTAACAAGGTATTTTTAAACCTTTTCTTACACTTGAATATTTTATTATTATTATTATTATTACAAGAAGGGATCGTGCACTACGACCTAAAAGATCTTTCGTGCCGCTTACTCGAGTTAGAGTGTTTCTCCAAGTCCGATTTCATTAATGGAAGACAGTATAGAGCCTACCTTTCCTAGTCTTGAATCCTTATGATCCATGAAATACCCTCCTAGGTGTTTCTTTCCCAACACCTCTCTCAACAGAGTTCTCCTCTGCGCCATTCATAAGAATGGATGAAGTTCCTTTGCCTAAACCACAGAATGATTCTGCGCCTTTTCTTGCAAGTTTGTCTGCCATTTCATTGCCTTGGATACCAGCATGACCAGGAATCTATATCAGGCGCACCTGACTGTTCCTGCCGAGTATGTTCAGCTTGTCAGTGCACTCTCATACCAGTTTAGATATTACATGGTAGGATAAAAGTGCCATTACAACTGCCTGGCTGTTAGTCAGTATTGCGATTTTACGTTTCCGATAGTTACGTTCCAGGTTGAAACTAGCGCATCTATCTATCGCATATATTTCCGCTTGAAAGATGGTGGTATTATTTCCCAGTGCTTCCCGGTATCTTTTGTCTGCTCCATAAACACCAGCCTCAGCTCCCTCATTTGTAAAGGAGCCTTCTGTATACCATGTTATCATGTTTCTTTTTATTATTTGGGTTTTGGAAAACCCTTCCCAATTCTTTTTGTTGCCAAGTTGAGTTTTGAAGTTTTGTGTAAAGTTATGCTTTACAATTATCCTCTCCGTTGGCATTTCAGTTTCTGGAATTTGTGCAGCGAGACTATCAAATTTTTTGCTGTTATTTTATTATTAGGAACTAATCAGATATTTCTTATAGTTAAGTGTGGGGAGCAATAATGAATACAAATGAATTAAATTATGTCAAAAGCAAAGATTTGCCACACAACTTACTCTAATCTCCCTACCGGTATACAGTATTCATTAGTGTTTCCCCAGAGGTGATCTCATATCAAATGAAATTAATTTATGTATTTCTGCCAAAAAAAATATTCAAATGTTCATCAAAATCTTTGAAAATCACTTAAAAAATGTTTAAACAAAAATGCTGAACAAATTGTTAACTTCATTTTGATGCAAATTTTTTTAATTCTTTTCAATTCGAACAAAGGAAAACGCTTATCTAGTTTTGGTGCGATAATGAAAAATCAGTACATTTACATAAAGAAAATGTTAATAAAGCCATTTTTCAAATCGAAATTAAAACAAATTTTAAGATTTTAAATCTTCATAAATTATTTCACACTTAAGTGCCTCTAGGAGATCTTCTATTCATTGTTGGTTACATTTTGTTTCCAAACAAACCTAAAACCGTAAAATGCTCAAATTTACGAGTATTGGGAAGAACTAGTCGTCGAAGACAAGGTTTGGCCAAAAGTTGTGAAATCGCTTTAATTTCAGAGATAAACTCACTTTTCGAAGGTGAATAATTAAAGATACAAAACTAGTGGAGGAAAAATAAGAAAGGTTAGGCGATATGTGAGGACATAAAGCAGGCCGCGGCGGGGAGAGCATCGCTGACGCAGATTAAACAAAAACGTTTAAAAGCGTGCTTAAGTGCTTTTTAACACTTTTACGGCATTAACTTTTTATTTTATTTGTTAATAAACAATTTAAACCAATTTCGTATAAGAGGAACGCGTGTTTTTTAATTGCCATTAATCGAGGCAACCTCATCGAATTTGTTTTATTTTCTGGCTTTGACGCCTTTTCTTGTAACCTGACTTCAAAATCGTTGCGGACGATTCTGAAGTCTTTTTCAAAATTTAAATTTTATCCGATTTGGCATAAAAAAGTAATTAACTAATTAAGTCAACATTTTGTTCGAGATAATATTAAAATATAACATATTTTATTAGATTTTATTAAACAAAAAAATCTTTAAAAACGAATTTATACAAGTTTTCGTATAAATAAATTTCGCATTCAAAGCCGTTGATAAACAAATTTTTTGGGAATATTAAATTAAATGAGATTTTGAATTTATTATTTGGCAGAAGTGTTTTCTATTAATTTACGACAAATTAATAACAAAAAACTGTGTTTTTGTTTAAAAAAACAAAGATTATTTATTGAGTATAAAATACTGCTTTTAAAATGCTTTTAACATAATTTTGTTTGCTAAAGAGTCACTTTCAACAGATCGGCAATAAAAATGCAAATGAACTTTAAATATTTTCAACACAAAAGAAAAATATTTTAAAATCATTTTTTCTTTAGATTAAAATATTAATTGTACAGTTTATTTATTGAAAAAAAAAACTTTAGTGTTTAAAAAAATAAAAATAAAATATTACTCACACGAATTATTATACAGCTTTGTATCTTATATCTTCAAAGCTATTGTTAACTTAGTTATTTGTGTTTATTCAAACTATTAAATAGAGTTTTAGGTAGAAATCATTATCTTTTAGTGCAGATTGGATATGTTACACTTATTGCTTTACAAAATTTAATTTATATCATATATAATATAAGCCCATGCATTCATTGCAGCCACACAAGCAGTCAGTGCTCAGCAATGCTTAAATACGCGAAATATTTCACCTTAAAGTTCTTTATAATTGGAAAGAAATCCCTTGATCTGATAAACAAAAAATTTGTTCTGGTAAGAGGATTCATTTTCAGTATTAACTAAAAAACGTAATGTTGTGTCTGGCCAGCTTATCTACTCCACAAATTCCCGCAATATTAGTGTGTACAAGAAATCTTATAAATAAATATTACCTATCTCATTTAGAAATTAGCGGAATAACGTAACTAAATTAGATTTATGGTAATCTCTACACCTGACTTGAACTCCACCGTTTCAGCCAGCTCACCGCAATTCAATCGTGACCTATTTCGTTTGATATTGTCGTAAGTGATCCTAATTCACTCTTCATCATCAGTCACCAACTGTTTCAGAAATGGGTCGATTTTGTTGCGATTCAGCAGCGATTCACAGATGGAAATTCAATCCATGAGTTTTTTGGAGTAAATTCGTGTTGCACCCATATATCGGGCTATATTTTGTATCCAGCTTTATTGAAATGGTTTCAAACGGTTTTTCATTCAATCTAAAGTTCTTGGGCAAACGAAACAGTGTTTACATGACAACAGCAAATCGGATATTCATGATTTTATCGACATTTTCGAGAATTGGTCTTCCAGTGCGTAGTGCATTTTTGACGTCGAAATTAACGGACCGAATTATCGACGAAACGCCATTATATAGTGTTTATATAAACACTATAAATAGCGCACTCAAACAAAATTAAGTCAACTAATTACCAAGCTATCAAATGATTTTTTTGTATGAAATCTCATCTTTATAACGCCATTTAGCACAACCCAATCGGACTTATACAACACGGGATACAGTTAACTAAAGTAATCTATTAGGAAAATAATCAATTTCTATTTACTACATTTATTAAAAATACCCACTAACCAAACCACAAAAATAGATTACTCTGAAAATGTTCGATTGGACAACAAAATTTTACAGATCGAGAGTAAATCTAATTTGAATCCATATTCACCAATCGATAATACTATCTGAAAAACTACTACCGTGTCTACTTAACTCATGTAATCCACTATTTCTCGCAATATCACTGTAGCCAAAAATGCTAGTTAGAAAGACTTTGTCTAA